GGGGGAGAGGGTCCACGGGGCAGGTAGCCCGGGGAAGGGGGGGGAAGGGGGGGAGAGGAAAAATGATAGGACGATTGTTTTAGAAATTTTTATTTTTTTAAAAATCTTTTTGATAATTCATAATGTGACAGATGTTGCCACATATATCATTTCTGTTGGGGTACATGCAGATAATTTTATAGTTTTTTTACAACAAAAGTTATATATGTTGTCACAGACACCACATTGGTAACAATGAAATGTTGATACATATTTTCTTTCTATAACATATGGTACCACATATCTTTTTTCTGTGACATAATTTGTCACATATCTTTTTTTCTGTGACATATGTTGTCATATATCTTCTTTCTGTGACATATGTTGTCATATATTATCTTTCTGTGACATATGTTGCCACATATCTTCTTTATGTTACATATGTTGTCACATATCTTCTTTCTATGACATATGTTGCCATATATCTTCTTTCTATGACATGTGTTGTCATATATCTTCTTTCTATGACATATGTTGTCACATATATCCTTTCTGTTGGGGCACATGTAGACAATTTTGTGGTGTCTTTTACAACATAGATTATATATGTTGTCACATACACCACATTTCTTCTTTTCCATCATAATTGACATTTATTTCAACAAAAAAATCATTAATATTATCCGCAAAAATAAACACTTCATCAATTGTTTTATACATCTTATCAAAAAAAAGTAATTCACAATGGTATACATAATCATCAATCTAATCAATGGTGGATATTGTTGTTTCACATTACAATTGACGACTTCGACTTTTCTCTTTATCTTTCGCTTTATTTTTCAATTTCTCCTTCTCCATCTCTAGGTCCTTCTCCTTCTTGTTCTCCTTGCCTTTTGGTTTTGAGTGTGATACAGAGCAGTTGTCCTCTAGATCCTTCTCCTTCTCCTTCTTGTTCTCCTTGCCTTTTGGTTTTGAGTGTGATACAGAGCAGTTGTCGTTGTTTTTTTCTTTCACTAATTATAGATAGTGATTGAGAAATAGATTTTTTCAATCTCCTACACTTCAAATATTTGTGGACAACTGAACAAAACTACATTTCTTAAATCATATGAACAAAATGGTCACAAAAAGAACAACAAAAAAGCAAAAAAAATAATTTTCACTAAATGTTAACATTACATATACATTTTCTCAAGTTATGACTTTTTGGGTTTGTTAATTTTCTTTCTAAAACAATAAATAATACTCTATTATTCATTTTTCACATCTATAGAACGATTAATTCTTCATTAACCCAAGAAAAAACTTATTATTATTCCAAAATTGTAAAATCTCCCAAAAAATGACTTACTCATTTTAAGTCGAAAAAAATCTTCAGTTAAGAAAGAGGAGAGAGTCATGATGGGAGATGAGGAGGAAGATAAGATAATGGGGAAGAATATTTATTTTCATTATTGAATTTTCAGATTTTCTTAAGGAAGAAGAAGAAGAGAAGAGACAACATTCGGAGAAGAAGAAGAAAAAATTCTATTTTCATGTACTTTTTGTTTTAAAAATGATTTGGATAGAATTATAAAAGTTGAAAAATGAAATGTTTTTTTGTATTTTATAAAAAATTAATAAATTTTAAAATTATTTATTTGATCCAAAATTTACTTAACTACATTTTAAAGAAGATTTAACCAGCTCTTGGTCAATCTGTCACCAAAAACCAAATCAAAACTTATGTGACACCTTTCATTTAATTTTCTCGACACAAACTTTGTCTTGAAGTTGTGTTAAAGTTATTAATGATATCGAAGTTAAGTATTTTCAGGACCACAAGAACTCATGCTTTCTGTCTTCAATGATTACTTTACTAATTTGGTATCTTACTACACTCAATTAGTAGTGATTATTGTCATAGCCCATATAACTATTAAGCACATCGTTGTAACCTGGTCATTATACCATAGTTTATAAATCACATAAAAAATTTAAACCACAATAAAGAAAGTCTCATGCGACAAGCTCATAACTGAATAATAGACAAATATTAAATTCAATCTCAAATCTTTCACGTGAAAAATCCATCTGCCAACCACTCAAGCATACTCGTGGTCAGGGGCGGAGCCAATAGTGTATCAAGATGAACCCCCTTGGGCAAAAAATTTACTCCCTCCGTTTAAAAAATGATGACCTAGTTTGACTTGAAACGGAATTTAATAAAAGAAAGAAGATTTTTTAATCTTGTTATTCTAAATTAAAGTTAGGTCAAATTTACCAAAATGTCATTTAATCTTATGGTCTTAAATATGCCACGTGAAATGTTAAAGTTAAGGTGTTGCCAAAAAAGCAAAAGTGACATTTTTTCTTAAACTAACTAAAAAAAATAGGATCATTCTTTTTAAACGGAGGGAGTACTATTTACACGTGATTAAAAATTTTTTTATGTATATACACTATATAGTAGATGGTGAACCCCCTTCAATAAATTCACATGTTTACTTTTTCAGATTTTAAACTCCAAATTAAAAATCTTAATTCCGTCATTGCCCATGGCAGTGCCTTTTTTTTAAAAAAAAAAAATTGTGAAGTTGAAATGGTTTAGTGAATCGAGCGACTCTAACATAAGACGAATCTGATCATCTCTGAGGAGAATCTTACTTTCTTAGTCACTACACTATAAGTGTACCAATTAAATTATGTTTACTTTAATTTTCTGAAATTCTCTGGCAGTACCAACGTTTATCAGACGTATCACTTAATTGTGGAATGTTTATAATTAAGTATATGCAACTAGTATTATCTTTACAGGTATTAGAAAAAGTAATTACTGTGTGGCAGAAGGGTTATTAATTTTTTACCAAAGTGGAAAGACAATAAAAAAGATAAACACAAAATTGGGACCAGAGAAAAAAAGTGAAAAGTTATGGGGAATAACATGGGGGTAGCTAGCTAGCCGAAGGATCTAGGTAAGGGTTATGTAGTCGGATAGCACGGAAGAGTTTATTCAAATTTCTTTTGATCGAAGAATTATACCGCTTATATATATATAGTTAATTAATTATATATATATTTGTTATATTATTGAACCTATTTCTGATTTTTTATTTCATATTATATAAATTTGATCTTAGTAAATATCTGACTCTGCGACGACATCTATACACAACTTTTTTGAAGTTAATGGCCATTCACCCACCACCACACGCACTCAAAAGGCTTCTGTTTTACCTTTTTTTTTCTAAGGGGCAGAGTCACTGCATGCGCGGCCTACTAAAAAGGCCAATGTCTGTTGTCTAAATGCCCTATTTCCTGTAACAGTATACTATTTGGTTTAACTATATATAAGGCCTAGAATAACCACTCTAACTAATGTAATGTAAATGTTATATTTCTTGTTGATAAAGTTATATAGGAATTTGCATCACCAACGAGGACTTCGGTAGAGTGATAAATATTCTTTTATTTTTAATCAGTTCAGATTTGAGTCTCTGACATACAAATTTGTCTTTGTTAGGGAGTGTTTTACCCCTGATAAAACCTCTCATCGCGAATTCACATTTATTGTAGATATGGATTGATAAATATTCTTTTATTTTTAATCAGTTCAGATTTGAGTCTCTGAAATATAAATTTGCCTTTGTTAGGGAGTGTTTTACCCCTTATAAAATCTCTCATCGCGAATTCACATTTATTGTAGATACGGAGAGAGAAAAGAAACCTATTGTGTATATATATATAGATATAGGTCTGCATTAGCGGAGACATGCATCCTTTTAAGTGGTGTTGCCTAACACCACTTTGTGGAAAACTTCAATTAAAACTGTATGTATGTACATGATAGTAACTGGGATGAATTTTAAATTTTGTATCTTTGTAAGTATTGATACACATTTACTATATTTTGTTGCAATTTCAATGAATTTTTATATATTAGTTTATAATCCAGAGGGAAATTACATTTGAGTACAAATGAACCGGTCGGCCGGAGCTTGCATCGTCTCTCATCTTCATTTTAATTTGTTTGTTTTACCTTTTTAATATATTGAACACATCTTTGATCAAACACTAGTAACTGCTCATCCAAAATTACTTTTTCAAAAATTAGTTCATTTTAAAAGTTTGACTAAATAGACGTGGTGACACTAGTCTAAACAAAACCTTGCATACCACATTATAGGCATGTAAGTAGTCAGCTATATATACGGGCACGTCAACCATGAGTACAAAGGCAAAAAATAGATAAATGTACTCAGCCTTTTGGCTTCTGCATGCACTAGTGCTCAAACATTCACACTAACTCCCCTTTTTTCCTTTTAGTACTATATAAATAGAATATATTATAATATATTTATGTGCAAGTTGACACAAAATTCCCTCCATAAAAACTCTACCAATGCTAAGTTCCTTTCCACTTTCTGAACAACTCACAGTCCTTTCCTTTAATTCTTGAAATTCCCTCATTCTCCAGTATCCAATTTGAAAGTAACGTTTCAACACATAAGTCATTTTCATCAATTTGTTCACTTAAGACAGATTGACATGGCATCACTATCAAGTACCCTACTTGTTACATTTTACATGACATTTGCATTATTATTATTATTATTATGTAGTCATGTTGTTAGTGCCAGGTACCATCACCACGGACACCGCGGTCATCATAATAACAAGAAACAACATAAGCATAATTCACACATATCGTATCCACCTTCAATTTCACCTGAGCCTTCACCCTCCGCGGGGGACGAAGGGGTTTATGATGTGAGGTCTTTTGGTGCCGTAGGTGATGGTGTTACGGATGATACTGAAGGTTTTAAGGCAGCGTGGGATGCTGCCTGCCAAGTTCAATCAGCTGTTATTCATGTTCCCCTTGGTTACTCTTTTATGATTCAATCTACTATTTTTACTGGTCCTTGTCAAAGTGGATTGGTGTTTCAGGTACAGATGCAACTATTTTTATCGTTTTCCTATGTGATGTAGTCTGACAAATAAAATCAGTTCATCAAGTATAATATAGATATTTTAGGGCAAAATTGTTACTTTTCTTTTCATTAAGTTCATCAAATTTTGTGTTTGATTTGACATCAAAATTAAACACAAAATATAGAAAGAAATTGTAAAAATATCTTTAGAACTTTTTGACCATGTCATTAAGGATATAAAGTCTTAAAATTAAAAACTTTTGTGTCTTATTCTATCACCCCTTTTTTACGTGAGATTAGTTGTTTGATCATTTATAGTAGTATGTTTTAAAAGGAATGATATATTTAGAAATAATTTAATTATGAATTTCGCATTTACTCTTAGTTAACATGTTTTTACGAAAAAAATAACTTGTCATGACATGTCTTTTCTTTAATTTTATATTTAAATAAACTATATTACCTAAATTAAAACGAAAGAGAATAATTTTGTAAATAACTAAATTTGTGTGCCAATATGGAAGTTGGAAGGAACAATAATGCCACCAGATGGACCAGAGTCGTGGCCAAGCAAAACCAGTAAGCGGCAGTGGCTGGTATTTTATAGAGTAAATGAGTTGTCATTACAAGGTGGAGGCGTCATAGATGGAAGAGGAGAAGAGTGGTGGAATCTTCCTTGTAAACCCCATAAGGTATGTATATATGGGGATTGGGGAGTAGATTAGTACTCATGTCTCGATAAGTGTTTGATATCCATAGTATTAAATAGTCCTATAAAATAAAGAGGCGATTTCTTATTTAAAGACGAATCGAGATTTCTGATTAAAAATGGATGAGTATTTGTCAATCCTGCATAATGATATTGTTTTTTCTCTTTACTCCACTATATATGGAATAGTGGTTGATTTCAATAATCTTTTTTTTCTGTTTTTATTTGGGTTTCAGTATCTGCATTGAATTCAATTAATTTAGATTCGTGTATTGTAGCGCTTATTTCTAGAGATAACTCTCGCAACAAGATATTTTCTATTTACTTAGCTTGAACCCAAAATTATTTTATTAAGGGGGGAGTTCAACTATTCTATCACAATTCATGCGTCGGTTATTTTCAATAACCTTTATATATATAAACTATCTAATCCTCAGTACACTTTAACTACAACAGGGACCTAAAGGAAGTACACTACCTGGACCATGTGACAGCCCAATTGTAAGTGAAAAAATAAACTTTCTACCACTAGACATCTCTAACAAATAAAAATAATTTATATTATTTCATTCATTTTAATTTTCTGAATTCTAATTTGGTACGTAAACTGCAGGCCATTAGATTCTTCATGAGCTCAAATCTAACGGTGCAAGGAATTAAAATGAAGAATAGCCCCCAATTTAATTTCAGATTTGATAACTGCAAAAATGTGCATATTGAATCCCTTCACATTACAGCTCCCATTTGGAGTCCCAACACTGATGGCATTCACATTGAGCAAACCAGCAATGTTGAAATTTATGACTCCCTCATCTCTAACGGTACCCTAATTAACTTCGCTTCGAGTATTTATGACTCTGGTTTTCAATATATCTGACATGCATATGATATGATATTATATGACTAAAAATTTAAAATATTAGGTGACGATTGTGTGTCAATAGGAGCAGGATGTTACGATGTGGATATTAGGAATCTCACATGTGGACCTGGAGGACATGGAATAAGGTAAGACCTAATAATAATACTAATTTGTTTTAACTTTTTGAATACTGTCGGTGCATAAAATTTAAACTCTAATTTTTACAGCATCGGGAGTTTAGGCAACCACAACTCGCGAGCATGTGTATCAAACATCACAGTTCGTGACTCAGTAATAAAGCAATCAGACAACGGTGTGAGGATCAAGACATGGCAAGGGGGATTTGGAGCAGTATCAGGAGTTTCGTTTCTCAACATTCATATGGACAATGTACGTAACCCCATTATAATCGATCAATTTTACTGTCTTTCGAAAGATTGCAGCAATCGGACCTCAGCAGTGTCTGTTTCAGATATTGAATACTCAAGTATTAAAGGAACGTATGATATAAGAAGCCCGCCAATGCGTTTTGCTTGTAGTGACACTATCCCTTGCACGAATATAACACTCTCAGACATAGAACTTTTGCCTGCGAAAGGCGAATTAGTGTTGGATCCCTTCTGCTGGAACGCCTATGGAGGACAAGAGACATTAACAATTCCGCCTATTTTTTGTTTGTTAGAGGGAAATCCTCCAAAAGTGTTTGAAAATAATGACTTAGGGTATTGTTCTTCGTCCTGAATTTTAATATTGCCTGACTGAGCGTTTTGTTTGTTTTTTGTACATATCATTGAGACTTTTACAGTATAAGTAATAGATTGATGTATTTGAGATGGGGATAATAATCCGAAACATCGATCGGTAGTATAATGTAATTTTAGATTTAGAAAGGGAGCTTATTGTTTGCTATAATGTAAGTTTTCCTTGAGATTTACTTTAAAGTTTACTCATTTAGGTTTTTCTATTTGATGTAATAGTTTTTTTGTGCTTTATGTCAATAATAATATGATTGCTTCTGTGTGTTACCTTCATTAAAATGTCTTACATCACACATTTTATATTTTGAGAGTCAAACAGTTTAAGCTTAATTGGAAATTTACTAATGGAATCTTCAATTTTCTTGAAATGAAAATTTATATATTTATAAACTACGTAAAAAGTACTATGAGTCACAATAATTAATAATTCAAAATGTTTAAGAGATTTATGAAAAATTTACGGTCAAAGATAAATTTGTTTGACTCTTGAAATCCAAAAGGTGACATGTAAAATGGAACGAATATGGTATTTGTGATGATCAGCCGTTTATGTTTATTCTTGAAAATTCATAAATATTTCGAAATGCATTTTTTAAAAAATTTGAGGTTTCTTTTCAAAAAGTTTGGAGATTCTTTTATATATAGAAAGTTGAATCCTGCAAATAGCAACTAAGAAGATAATGTGTATATAGTACAGCGGGGTTATTCGAATTCCCCAATTTTAAAGGGGTGTTTCATTAGTTTTTGCTACAAAATTGTGGTTGGTTGATTTTTCATTTTTATTCTTCAGATATTTGAATTTTAGAAAATGGCCCTAATGCCAATGTCAACAGAAAAGGTCTATAAGCTTCAATAATTTTATTCAAATAAAACTATTAAAAAGAATAAATCTCGTGCAGTTATTTGAGGCTTGAGCTGAAATAGAATAAAAATAGAGTAATTGAGGTTGTATGTTAAGTCAAAGATTAAGAGGGAAAAAATCTATATGGTACTTTAAATTAAAATACGATAAAACAGCCATTATTTCAATTATTATTAATTATTATCACTTGAAGTTCAAAAAATAAAGCATAATATTTACACATACTCGGGGTCAAACTAACATTTACAAATGTTAAAATTCATTATTTTCAAATGCTGAAGTTAAATTCGTAACTAACCACTACTAGAAATTAGAAAATTGTATCACCTTGAAGTATAATAACTTTTTCAGAAATTAATTAAGGTCAATAGGCCAACGTTCAAATAATTCAATAGATAAAAAAATACTATAAAAATGAGATTATAAGATTTTAAGTGTAAATTCGAGTAAAATTGAAGACATTATAATTCTTATATTAACTTAAATAAAAGATAAAAAACTTGCACAAACTAATTCGAACACTAAATGAAAAAATAATTAAAAAATTGAGACGAAACGTGTGCTTAGAAAGTTCACCATTGTGAATTTGTTAGGTGAAAGATATCCATTGTCTTGAAAACTAAAGGTAGAACAAAAAAACAAAATTAACATAATTAATGCAAAATTTTTGTTCTTTTTCCTTTTTGATTTCAAATTTTCTCATATTGCGGCTCAAATAAACATTGTGAATTTTCATATTTAGTACCAACCATGAGATGACAAAATAATAGAATGTCATACTTCCATTATGCAATTAAATATATATCTATTAAATGATTTGCAGCACACTATGATTCATTAACATGACAAGGTTTAAAAGGTGGTGATGTAACCTAATTAAAATTATGCTAATTTAGTGCCAACTTTCCGTCCTTCTTTAGACCCAATACGCTTCTATATATGGCTAATAAATAAATAAAAATAAAGGATAAGAGGGAATATTAAAATTTTAAACTATACTTTTTTGTTGGTGAAATTAATTATATGCAAGTTTAGAGCCAATAAGAAGAGAACAGAAAAAAGCAATACAAAAAAAGAAAATACTTTTTTTCAATAAAAATCATTGTTCATATTGTTAGATCTTCTTTTCTACTTTGCGACAAATAGGTCTATTAAGTGGGTAATATTATTAGGCATACGACAGAAATATAAATTTTAGTTTGGCATTAACTGACAATTAAATAACAAAGGGCGAAGTTAGGTTGAATCTACGGAGTTGGTTCAAAATCTCTTTCATAGAAAATTATACTATTTATATGTAATGAGATTTATTTTTTATGTATTCCTTTGGCTTTATGTGTGTTTTATTTTTTCATATTTTAAAATCATATAGGAGTTATTTGGTAGAGTGTACTAATAAAAATAATGTAGGCATTACCTCTGTATATTAGTTTTCCCTTATTTGATACACTTTTTCATGTTATACACTCCATTGTGATATTGAGAAGTGTATTCTTAATACTATAATAATGCAAAGTGATATTAGCCCAAAGATATGGCGTCCGAAACATCCAAAAAAAATCTCAAAATTTGTATGAGAACCTCTGTTATGAGTCGGGGAACATTCACATTACTCACACCATTTTTTTCAACGCATATTTCTGCATTTACAGGCACTTTTTTAAGAATCGCTAAAAATTTTCAATTCTTCGTGTGTGTTAGCCCATGGATGTGGCGCTCCGAGAACTCAAATATTTTTTCTCAAAAAATTTTATGAGGTCCTCTGTATAAGTTGAGGAAACTTCAAGTATACTCACACAATTTTAACGCCTATTTCCACATTTACAAGCTTTTTTAAAAAAAAAATCAAAATTTTTAGATTTTACGTGTATATTAGCTCATGGATCTAGCGCCCGGAGTACCAGAAATTTTTTCTCAAAAAACTTTTGAGGACCTCCGTAATGAGTTTAGGAACCTTCATTGTATACTCACATTACTTTAACGTCATTTTCGCATTTACAACACCATTTTTAAGAATCCTCGAAATTTCTCAAATTTCTTGTGTATTAGCACATGAATCTAGCGCCTGATGAACCGAAATAAAATTTCTCAAAATAATTTATGAGGACCTCAGTAATGAGTTGAAGAACCTTCACGTATCCTCGCACCACTTTTAATGTCCATTTCCGCATTTACAAGCACTTTTTAAAAATCGTCAATTTTTTTAATTTATTGTGTGTATTAGCCCATGAATCTAGCGTCCAGATCACTCAAAATATTTTTCTCAAAAAACTTTATAAGGATTTCCATAATAAGTTGGGAACTTTCATATATACTCACACCATTGTTCGAATGCTCATTTCTACATTTACAAGCTCTTCTTTAAGAATCATCGAATTCCCCAATTTTTCGTATATATTAGCCCATATATTTGACACTTGGAGCACCCAAAATTAATTTTCTCAAAAAAACTATAAGAGGACCTATGTAATGATTTGATGAACGTTCAAGTATACTCACACTATTTTTTATGTCCATTTTCACATTTACAACCTTTTTTAAAACATTACCTGAGGATTTTCATGTGTATTAGCCCATGGGTCTGGCACCAGAAGCACCCAAGAAAATTTCTCAAAAAACTTCATAGAGACCTACATAATGAGTTGGGAAACCTTCAGACATACTAACACCATTTTTTAACGCTCATTTCCGTATTCACAAATCCTTTTTAAGAATCGCCCATGATTCTGGTGCCCGGGGCACCTAAATGTTTTTCTTTAAAAACACTATGAGAACCTCCGTGATAAGTTGTGAAGCCTTCAAGATTTCTCGATTTTCATGAGCATTAGTATAGCACATGGATCTAGCGCATGGAGCACCCAAAAAAAAATTCCAAAAAAATTTATGAAAATATCCATAATGAGTTAAAAAAAAAACCTTCACATATACATTTTTTAACGTGCATTTCCATATTTGCAAGCCCTTTTTCATAATCGCCAAAATTCCCTCATTTTCGTGTGTATCTGCCCGTGGATCTATCACTTAGAGCACCTAATGAGTTGGGGAACCTTCATGTATACTCACATCATTTTTAATGCTCATTTCCGTATTTACAAACACTTTTTTATGAATTGCCAATATTTCTCAATTTTCATTTGTATTTGTCAATGGATCTTGCACCAGGAGCACCCAAATATTTTTTCTCAAAAAATTATAAGGACCTCCGTAATGAGTCGGTAACCTACACGTATATTCATGTCATTTTTAACACTCATTTTCGCATTACAAGCCTATTTTTAAAAATATCCAAATTTTTCAATTTTACATTTGTTATATAATCCATGGATCTGGCGCCCAGAGCAGCCGAAAATTCTTTCTCAAAAAATTTTATGAAGACCTCCGTAATGAGTTGGGAACTTTCATGCATACTCACATTATTTTTTAACGATCATTTCTACATTTACAAGCTCTTTTTTATGGATCGCGCACATTCTTTGATTTTTTGTGCATATTAACCAATGGATCTAGCGCCTGGAGCATAAAATATTTTTTCTCAAAAAAGTTTACGAGGACTCATTATTGAGTTGGGGAACTTTCATTCACCATTTTTTAATACCCATTTTCGCATTTACAAGTCCTTTTTGAAGAATCGCTCAAATTATTTGATTTTTTTGTATTAGCCCATGAGTTTGGGGCCTGGAGCACCCAAAACTTTTTTCTCAAAAAACTTTATGAGGACTTCTATAATGAGTGGGGAAAAACCTTCGCGTATACTCACACCATTTTTTATGAAAACCTCCACAATGAGTTTAGAAACTTTCACGTATACTCACACCATTTTTTGAACGCTCATTTTCGCCTTTACAAATTCTTTTTTAAGAATCACCCAAATTTTAAAAAAATCATCGATCAGCACCCAGAGCATCCAAAAAAAGTTTCTCAAAAAACTTTATGAGAACCTCTGTAATGAGTTGGGGAACCTTCACGTATACTTAGATCATTTTTTAATGCTCATTTCTGCATTTACAAGTCCTTTTTTAAGAATCCCCCAAATTTTCAAAATTTTTGTGTCTATTAGCTCATTGATCAAGCGTCGAAGCACCCAAAATAATTTTCTCAAAAAACTTTATGAGGACCTCTGTAATAGTAATGAATTGGGGAACCTTCATGTAGACTCACACCATGTAAAATTTTCGCATTTACAAGTCTTTTTTAAGAATCACCTAAATTTTTTGAATTTCATGTGTATTTGACCATGGATCAGGCGCCGGAGCACCCAAAATTTATTTTTCCACCGTTATGAGTTGGTGAACCTTCACATATATACACATCATTTTTTAACGCTCATTTCCGCATTTACAGTTCATTTTTTAAGATTTGCCCGAATTTCCCGTTATTTTTGTGTATTATTAGCCTATAGATTTGACCTC